TTGGTCACGCCAAGAGCGGCAGTTAGGTTGAGCAAAAATGCTCGATAGTGGGCAATGACAGTTTCGTTAGAGATAAAACTGGGCTGGTAGCGGTTATCGCGGTTCATCACCACCATTCCTGCTTGAAACTAAATGATAACGACAAAATTGTTAGTTATTCGGTAAAATGATCTATCAATCATTACCCGTAGTATGCCAAGAGAATCTCGAATGTCAAAGATGTAGCTCAGACCTGCTTTGGAAAATACATCAACAAAGATGTCCTGCCAGGTTCTTTTTGGCTGACTGGCAGTTGCATTCTTCTTGCCCAACATCGGCCAGCCACCGACGGTTGCCTCCACCAACTGAACCAGCGGCGCCGTGCCCCGTCGCTCCCAGGCGTCAGTGTCCCGGCACTCGCTGTACAACTCAGCGACGTACTTAATCGCCTTCGATGAGGAGTTGAGGGCATTTTTGAACGCCTCATTGATCTCCTCAAGCACCAGCAGCTGGCGGCTGAGAAAGGAGCCTGACCACTCGTAGGTGGGGTTTATCGGGTTGAACTTGGGGTAGTTTCCGCAAACGTACTCGTAGAAGTCGTCACATGGCTTCACCGATGTGTTCATTGATCGGTGCTGCAGGGTGTCGGCGAGTGCCTTGCATGGTGCCGTTGTGCAGGTTTCTGGTTTTTTTGGTAATGTAAGATGTTAATGTTAATGCTCAAAACAGGTCACCATTTTACCTTGGCCAGCCACAAGGAAGGCAAAAGAGCTGCAAAAGAGCAGCAAAAAATTAACTTTAAAAGCCATTTTTAAAACTTAATAATTTGATTAACAGCGCTAATTAAGGTTTTTATATGTGCTAAGATCCTTAACTAATTAGGTTAACCGTTGGAGTATTACCTGGAGGCTGTNAACAAAAATGCCAGAAATCAATCAAAAGTTGTGTTTTATAATAAGTACCAGATCTGCCGGTGCCGTTATCATTGCCTTGTAGTGTAAAGCCGTAATGAGAGCTAATGAGAAATCTTTGATTAGTTAGCAACTTTATGCCAATTTTAATTACAAGTGCATTTGCAACTTTTA